TGGGGCACTAGGCACTCAAGCTTCATGAAGACTTCCTACATCAAAGAGGTATGTATTCTATCTTGTTACATTCATTGTTTTGTATGCTAGATTAGGATAATACCTTGGATGTTCTTATTTGCATGTATAATAGAGAAAACATAGATCCAAGGTATTTAGGGTTGCATGTACACTTAGGAGTGTTAGAATGCTCATAACCCAACATTTATTTGGTCCGGTTAATGTTCTCAGCTTAAATCGCAACTCATATTGTCTCGTTGTGATAGATGATTACTCTCGGTTCACTTGGGTCTTCTTTCTGTCCAGCAAAGCTGGGATCGCTGACCTCATCAAAAGATTCATTGTAATGATCGAAAATCAGACCAACAATCGAGTGAAAGCACTGCGTACTGATAATGGAACAGAATTCAAAAACATTGTTCTTAACCATTTTTGCGCTGAGAAAGGGATTGTACGTCAGTTTATTTCCGTTCGAACACCTCAACAAAACGGGGTTGCTGAATGTTGGAATCAAACTCTAAAAGACGCCACAAGGACGATGCTCTGTGACTCCAAGCTTTCTGTGTTCTTCTGGGCAGAGGCGATTAACACCGTGTGCTACGTTCATAATCGTGTGCTAATCAACAAAGCCGACATGAAAACACTGTACGGAATTCTATATGGACACAAGCCATTTGTCAATCATTTCCGAGTATTTGGCTGCCCTTATACCCTTCTTCACTTGGAATCCAACCCCAAATTCAATGCAAAAGCTGATGACTATTACTTTGTTGGATACGCTACTCGAACTGCTTACAGGGTTTACAACAAGAAGACAAAACAGATTGTAGAATCTTTCAATATTCGTTGGCTCGAAGAAAATGAGACCGGTGCAAGAGTGGGTCCCGATTGGCTATTTGACTACACTTCTCTTTTCAAATCATTTAATGTGTCCTCAGATAATGAAGAAGGGTCTACGTCATATTCGAAGATCATTATTGAAGATAAAGAAGACGAAGTTGTCTACCGACCACCACTGGTTTCTTCCGATCCTCCAATGATGCCATCTATTCATAATGTATCTTCTGAGTCTTCTCCTCCACAACCTTCTCCTGATGCTGCTGCTACTCCTCTATCTCCGGTGGAAAGACAGTTCATGAACCAAGAGACTTCCGTTGTAACTTCAAATCTGATGGAACTTCTCTTTCCAGAATGCATTGCTGAAGAGTTTGTAGTAGATCCTCCAAATGAACCTTGTTCATCTACTATGGATCATACAACAAATGATGGAGTGGTCAACATTCCTACTCTTCCAGTCTCTATCAATGATATCAGCTACCAGATCCCTGCACGCATTCAGCGCGACCATCCAATAGAAAATGTCATTGTCCAGCTGGGCGACGGCGTTCAAACGAGAAGTCAGAGTGGGGATGTTAACACATGCCTCTACTCTTGCTTCATTTCTTAGGTAGAGCCCAAATCTGCCAAAATGGCTCTGAATGAGCCCAGCTGGGTTTATGCCATGCATGATGAACTTAATCAATTCGAGAAGCTCGGGGTTTGGAAGTTAGTGGAGTTGCCAAAAGGAAAGAAATCTCTTGACACTCGATGGGTCTTTTGGAATAAACAAGATGACTCAGGTGTAATTGTGCGTAACAGGGCGAGATTAATGGTTCGCGGCTTTCGGCAAGTTGAGGGTCTTGATTATATGGAACTTTATGCTCCGGTCGCTCGTTTGGAAGTCATTCGTATCTTCCTTGCTTATGCTTCCTATATGAACTTCACCGTATACCAAATGAATGTCAAGATGGCTTTCTTGTACGACAAGGTCAAGGAGGAGATTTACGTTGATCAACCACCCGGTTTCGTTAACTCAAAACTTCCCAACCATGTCTACAAGTTAGACAAAGCTCTGTATGGACTGCATCAAGCTCTTAGAGCTTGGTATGCTACTCTGACTCAACATTTGCTTAATCACAGCTATTCCCGAGGCACCATTGATCAAACCTTATTCCTCAAACATGTCAGTCCAGATCAAATTCTTGTTCAAATTTATGTGGACGACATTATTTTCGGGTCGACAAGCCAACAACTTTGCAAAGAATTCGAAGCAGTGATGAAGAAGAGGTTCGAGATGAGTTCACTTGGGGAAATGACCATGTTTCTGGGGCTTCAGGTCCAACAATCTTCAACCAGAATCCTTATTCATCAAGCAAAGTACGTGGATGATGTAGTAGAGAAGTTCGGGTTCCGAGACGCGAAACCTGCTCTTACACCCATGGTGGAAAGACCTCTACTGACCCCTGATCTTGAGGGTGAATCCGTAGATCAGACGCATTATCGATCAATGATCGGATCACTCATGTATCTGACTGCCAGTCGCCCAGATGTAATGTTTGCGGTCTGTCAATGTGCTCGCTATCAGGCTAATCCAAAACTCTCTCATTTACTTGCTGTTAAATGGATTTTTCGGTATCTCAAAGGGTGCCCAAAACTGGGTCTTTGGTATCCGAAAAATCCAGAATTTGATCTTTACGCTTTTGCAGACAGCAACTATGGTGGGTGTGAGCTTGATAGAAAATCGACTTCAGGAGGATGCCAATTTCTAGGTGATAAATTGGTTTCATGGCAGTGTAAGAAGCAACATACCATTTCCACCTCAACAGCAGAAGCAAAGTATGTCGTTGTGTCGGCTTATTGTTCTCAAGTCATCTGGATCCAACATCAGCTGTTGGAGTACGATTTGAATTTTCAAGAAACCCCTCTTTTCTGTGATAATGAGGCTGCGATCCAAATTTCCAAAAACCCAGTCCAACACTCAAAAACCAAGTACATCGACATCAAGATTCATTTTATCAGAGAATGTTATGAACATTCGCTCATTCGGCTAAAACAGGTCCGCTCTAATAATAATGTAGCATATCTGTTCACCAAGGCGTTTAACAAAGCTCGATTCGATGTGATGGTTAATTTTCTAAAAATGATCCGTTTTGAGGATTAATTTTTTTATGTTTAACTCAGGGTAAATTTGTGCATTTTTTTCCTTTTATTTTTATATTTTTTATGCACAAATTTAGGGGGAGAAAATTAGAAAATCCAGAAACATAGAAAATTAGAAAATCCAAAAAGATAGAAAATTAGAAAATCCAAAAACATGGAAAATTAGAAAATAAAAAAAAACTTTAGAAAATCAGAAAAACAAAAAGAAATTATGTTGGTTATGTAATGTGCTTGAGGGAGATGTTTAGGGAAGTGATATCAATAAGTGATAACAGGCCATCTAAGTCTGCGTAACGTACCCAAAGTTGAAGGGTCTATGCTCTGGTTTGATGCATCGGTAGGCACGAAAGATTCTAAATGGACATGACTAGGCAAAGTTGAACTTAAGGAATTTATTGACTAGACAAATCTTAACCTAGTTAGACCCGTTTAGCCTAATAATACGACGCTCGGATAGGTTGAGCAGGGAGATATATATATATGGGAATCTAATCATCACATTAAATGAACCCGTATCTGGAACCGTGGTTTAATTATTCCTCGATATGCGGATTCTATCCTTAATTCCGGTATTGATGGGGCGACTGGTAAATTCCGATAAATTAGGTCTGTAGAAAATCATTTTCTTTCTTTCTATCTGTTAGTCATATGTTACCTCCTCTACGTGATTGGAACAGATCCGACCTGGATTGTAACATATGCAACTCTATTTTTCTGCATATTATATATGAAATTCCTCTTATTTGTTAGCCATATGGTGTCTCCTTTGTGTGACCAACAATCCGACCTGGTACACAGCATATGCAACCTTCTACTTCTCAATCCCTCTAAAACTATAAGTAATAATACTCTGAATCTATCTTCTCTCCTAATGATGGTCTGCTCATCCGATGTAAGGAGTACTTTAGAAGTTCTTGAATATTAGGGCATATCAGGAAACGGGAAACATGTTCCAGTACAATTAAAATTGAACACTCAAGGATTGTCTATAGATCTCGCTGCTCAATTTACGTGGACAACAATATCCCTGTTCGTTGTCAGCTGAATGGTCCTTAAGATATAGTATCTAGGAACTTAGGATCAGATACAATATCTAGGAACTCAGGATCATATTGTCCTTAAGATATAGTATCTAGGAACTCAGGATCAGATACAGTATCTAGGAACTTAAGATATAGTATGTCCAAATTTTGCCACAATGTTTCGTGTTTAAGTGGACAACAATACCGGCGATCAACCAGACAAAGACGTGAAGATAGAAGGTACCGACAAGCGGATAAAGGCTGTCTAAAAACTTTGATCCATAATCTCAATAGGTTAAAACAATTTATATAGGAGTAAAAATTAAATTTTAAATCCTTGTCGTTAATAGTATTTTCAATTTTATTTTAGTCTATTATATTTTTATTTTTATTTTTATCTTAGTTAATAAGTTTTCTTTTAGTTTTTAATTTTAAATCCTTAGGAATAATAAATTTAGTCTCTTAAATCCTCAAAATGGTTTGTTTTTGAAAAAATGGTGAGTATAGAGCCTTGTTTTTATTTATTAAAAAGGTGAAGGGGAGGAAATGAAAATATTTTGAGTATATATATATATATGGTGTGTGTGGTGAGAATGTTACCGGCATTTTTACCTCACGTGTTTCTCTCAACCGCACACGGCTTTTTACCTTCTCTCTGAAAATTCTTGAATATTCCATTGTTGTTCTTGAAATCAAAGCTCTTTACCTAGTAATTCTCATGAACACGGCTCAAAAATAAAATTTTTATGTAAAATCATTCATCATTGGCTGTTTAATCAAAATGTTAGTCGTTTTCGTATGAAAAAGGAACCGCACACGGGCGTGTGCAGCTGAACTGTGTGCGGCTACATTGACTTATGTACGGTTGAGCGTGTGCGGCCGCACACGCGTGAATGGTTGTACACTTGCACGTGTGCGGCTATGTGCACTTCTATGTGCGGTTGCACCATTTTTGATAATTTTGCCCTAACGATTTTATGTATTTATTTTCAGATTAAGATGGGAGATATGGAATTTGCTAAAGTCCACAACTCCGCCATTTTTCTCGAAGACCCTCCTGCAGCTCACAATGACTTGAAATTCATTGTGGATGGGTTGAAGAAATCCTGCTTGGTCCATGCTCTAACTACATGCCCTACTATCTACCAGAATTTGATTAAGGATTTCTGGAGAAGAGCTGTTGTGAAGAAGAATGATCAAGGTGAAAAGTTCGTTGAAACAACAATTGAAGATAAGAAAATTCAAGTAACAGAGAGCATCATTCGGGAATCTCTCCAAATAGATGACAGATTTGAGTACACTATGGAGATTGACATTCATCAAACTCAAGATGTCTTAGAACACATGGGGTACGAGGGAACCTTTCCCCTACCATCAAGAAGTTGCTTCCTCCATGTTGGAAGTATCTGGATCATGTGTTTGTGAGCTGTATTTCCGGCAGGAGATCTGGAGCAAATGAGATCTCTCTGGCTAGCACTGGAGTAATTGCAGCCTTGGCTGCAGGACTTGAGTTTAACTTCTCCAAGTTCATAATGCATGAGATGATTCTAAACCTTGAAGGGAGCAAGAGGGACAAGTTCTTGATGTATCCAAGATTCTTGCAAATCATTCTCAATATAACTCACCCCGAGATGCAGAGAGGAAATAAAACCTTGGACTTGAAATCCATTGGTCCAAGTGATTTTGGACTAATGAATCAGAAGAGAAGCGGGAAATTTGTGTTTGAAGGAAAATTTCCATTGATAAAATTCGGAATTTTTGCAGAGAATGATAGAGAAGAATCTGAAGAGCAGTCCATCCCGATGGAATTTGAAGATATTTTTCGTTCAACCTCCGAGCCAGAGGTTGAGGAGGTCCATGATTCTCCTTCAGCCGTTGTGGCTGAGGAACATGATCATCAGAAAGAAGATGAAACACATTCTGCTCAAGATGATGAGGATGATCTTTATGGTGATGTGGAGTTCTTGAAGGAAATTGATTTTACAGGGTTTAGTGATGACATCCCGACAAATATAGAATTTGATCTTGATGATGAAGAATTCGATCCTTTTCCTGGAATTCGCAGCTGTCCTAATAAAATCGATGAAGTTGCTTCTTTAGCAACCAAGACTAGAGATGAAGGAAACTCTCAAGATTTTGCTCTCTACTTCAAAACCCCTGGAGATTACATCAAGCCAAGGAGATATGACATAAGAGATTCCTCCCTTTGTGTCATCCATCTCAACATCTACTCCAATTGTTCCTGACTCAACTCAACCCCAAACCTCTCAGTCTTCCATGGAAACAAGCCAATCACTTACAAGTCTAGAGGTACCCGCTGTAAGAAGTGCACCTCAAGTTCTTTCAACAATCGCTGCTACCACTGTTCACTCTCCTCCAAAACAATCAGATGAAGGTCTGAGTACCATGTTTGAGACTGGTGGATCCTCATCCATTCCAGAATATTCTCCCACTCAACCTTCATTAGATGAAGCTTCTATTATATTGGTAAAACACCTGGCACAATCTAGTCCAACCTCCTCACACGGGAAAGGAATATCCTTTAAGGAGGGACGGACAGGTGATGAAAAATCTTCTTCGCCTGATCTTCGAGAGGAGATTGGGATTCTCCGTCAAGAGCTCATCAAAAAGTCAATTCAAATGGATCAACTCACTGCATACATTTTTTAGCTCAGGGCGAAGGATGAAGAAAAGACCAAACAAATTAAAGATCTGCAAACGAGTCTTGGATCCGTATTAGCCAATTATTTCAATCTCAAGAACGTTATGTATGACACTTTTGGTGAAAAATTCAAGGCTCTCTTTCAACAGCCACATGGAGTCGATGATCCTCCCATACCCCCCACACAGTCTGATTCCAAAGACTTTCCAGTCAATCCAACTGCTCCAAGAACAACCACCATTGTCAACAGGTTTGAAAAAGAACCAGAGGGAAGCAGAGCCAGAATAACAATCAAACAGGGCAAGAGAACCGTAACAACCAACAAACGCGAAGGTTTACTATTTATGAAGAATTCAAATGAGAATCGCAAGGCGAAAGACCCTATTCTGACTGTAACTGATATGAAGAAAAGAAAATTTGGTGATGAGTACGGAGATAGATCGGGAATTCGAATGCGGGTCTTTGAGCCTGCAAAGAATATGTGGGTTGTAAAAAGAAACTCAGGTATCCATGAGTATTACAAGAGCACCCATGATTTTAATTCATGGACCAAAGTGGATCTTGCAGAACTATCAAGCGCCCCATTCCATAACCCCATCGGAAGATCCCAGTGCCTCAAACTTCAAAAGGTTTCTTGATAAACAAGTAAAAGAAAACTTTCCATCAATGAAAACTGCAAGAGCCTTGTAACGAAAAGACACAGAAATTCTAGATCCTGAATCAGGAAAGCCTATGAAGATCATACTTTGGCCTGCGACTAAGCAGCAAAAGGAAATTCCTATCCCTCAACAATTCCATGAGGGATATCTTGACAATATGGAATTTTGGGCCTCTGATGACGAAACTGCAACTGCAGCCATTAAATTCAAGGATCGAGAACAAGTTCTAAGATTGATAAGTGCCAAATATCTTCTTCGGTTCAGAGAGAGGGATATCTGGACTCTTGGTCTTCATCAGATCATTTATAGAAAATACATCATGGAAGTTGTTGCTAAAGAATTCATAATTATCAATGGAAAAATATGGATGGCCTCGATGGGAAGATCGGATCTAAAGTTGTATGAGAAGCCAGCCGAGAAGCCAAACGAATGAAGTTTAAGACTATGCTAGTCTCAAACCAAGGGGGAGATTGAAGGTCCATAATTCTGTGGTTTGAGCTAGGCATAAATTTTGTATAGATCTAATCAGGATTTCAGTGGTTGTATAGCAGTTTTTTAAATTGAACTTGTATGTGTGCAACTGCACATGTGTGTGCGGCCGCAAACGTGTGTATGGCTGCACACTCGTGTGCTGGTGGGGATACTATTTTATAGTTGCTGAGTTGTGTCAGATTGTACTGGTTGCTGAACAGTGACGTATGTGTGTGTACTTTCAAGGTGTACTTGACATTTATGAGCTATGAATGTGTGCATGCTTGATGTTATTTCACTTCCACTACTTCTACTCCTTCTACACTCTATTTTGATTAATATTACTTCATTGTTTACTAAATTGGATCCATAATTTGGGCACTAACACTCATGGTTGCCTTTATTGAATATTGCTTGTTGCCAAGGGCTCCCTGAACCAGTACAGTAAACTAGTTACTTACAGTGATCCATCAGGATAGATCTTATAAGATCATTGTTAGAGGATAATTATGTAAGGATCGATAAGACAGACAACTAAGGTTAAAATGTCATATAGATATTTATGATGTGTTATTTGATAACAAATGGTTTTTCAGGTTATTTTTTACGGATTAATACTATAATAACATTATGGGATTGAAAAACCCTATATATCTCACCATGTTTCCCAACCTGACCGACTAAATTTATATACATTACAGGTATGTGAGTACCAGAATCAATGCACAAGGACAAGGTTTGAAAACTCAGACCTTGAGTTAATCTTTAAGATGATTGTTTGCTCTTAATTAAAGTTTCCAGTCAAGTTTGGTAATACCAGTCAAGACATGAATGAAATATTCAACAAAGTACTCATAACTAAATGAAGTAAACTATGAGTATAATCAATGTAAAGACATTTAATGTACAAGAAGAATGTTATGAAAGATCTTGACTTGAGAGAAAAGTGAAAGAGAATTAAATAGAATATTTGCTATCTTTAGAGTAATAATGCATATGTTTCTTGTCATTCAAATACTCCTTAAATAGACTAAGGAGGTATATCGTACAGACTTGGAAACATTCCTAGGATTGGTTAATAATCAGTTACTGACAACTGATTATCTAAAAGATACAAAAGGATAAGTCCTACGAAATGTTACATAATTAATAAGACAATAAACATTAAACGTTCAAACAGACAACTAATCGGTTCTTCACTTCATCTCGGAATGATATCTCCATATCGTACTCCATCTCTATCTTGGACTTCACCAATCTCGGAAACTGCTTCGGATCTTCATTCTTGTGATTGCTAGAGGTTCACTTTTCATGTTTCAACAATCTCCCCCTAAGTGAACTTAGAAATCAGGTCAGCTTAGTTGGATTCTTCAATGATGAATACATGAGCTCTGTATAGCCAGTTTTGGACTTCCAGATACCACTGAAGTTGACTGGTGAACCTGGTCTTCACATGCTATGGGGATTCTAACTTAGTTGCATTTGTGATAAAATTTCAAAGAACTCTTGAGGGAACGAGATGCTTTCCCAGGACTCGGAAGAAGTCCTTTTTGTTTGTCTTCTTTTACAAGTAAACATATCCATACACAGGTTCATCAATTGGCCCTTCTATTAAGATTTCAGCTTCAAGCAGCTTGTAATCAATTTTTGCCAAGAACATTTTAGTCCGAACAAATGATCCAATTTGAATTCACATCTACAAAACTCAGCAACATGATCCTTCAGATAGTTCATTGCAGCACTGTAAGCAACAATGCACATCTAACTGTCTAGACAAGTTCAGAAATGAGCAGCAATGGTCAAGATGTCATTTGGATTAATGGAGGGGAAGTCGGTGTCCATGATGGTGAGTTGTGTTGACTTGTTTTGATAGATGTAGTAGCAATGCAACAAACAGTCTAAGTCGAATTTTGTTTAGACTTTTCTTCCGAACCCATATATTTTTCCAATTCTCTTCCGAGACCACACTTCTTTTTGGGGACGTGCGTTCAAGGAGTAGAATGTCTTCAGTCATTCTCTTTCGGTTCTGATGATCATTTTGAGGATCATCTTCTGGGTAGAGAAGAGCAAACTTGATTTAGAACTTGCCATAAGGAGAGATAGGGAGATCAAGCTAGTCCAAGTCTTGGATTGGTAGATCAAATACATGAATGGCACAATGTCCATATCATGAACTATTGCTTCACGACAAAGTGAGGAAAGCCCTAGCATTAGATCGGGGTTGTCTTTGAAAGCTTGAATCTGAATGCTCTCTTCAAGGGATTGAACTATTTGTGCTTGAGACCAACCATCAGGCTTCTTGGTGGTATGTTCAGAGTAGTGGAATTCTAAGATAGGATTTTTCCTTTATCTTGTTGTTTGTTCAGAACCGAGATGACATGCTCCATATTTTCATCGATGGTAAACTCTAGAGGTGGAGGAATCAGAGGTCCTTCTGGAATGTTTTTAGGTTTCCGAAGTGGAGGAACTTCATCGATTAGAGCTATTCTTGGTGAGGGAATTGGAGGCAACATTGATGGGGTAGTTCAGAATACATCAATTGTGAGCTTAGTCTTTGCCTTAGCCGTTTCACGACTTCTTTGTAAAACATCAGCCAAGGATGATGGCCATATAACAGCAGAACATATCCTTTGCTCTTCCTCGGAAATAACTTTCGCCGGAAATTTCTTCTGAGCTTGAATTCCTACCACAACATTTGTGATGTACTCGAAATCTTCATCATCATCATAAGGTGGAGTACCTATGGAAAAAACTTGAACAAATTCATCATCAAATTCATCTTTGAGTTTAAACTTTGAGGCAAGCTTCCAAGAGATCGTTGATTTGAAAACTAGAACGCTTGAGAAAGTCAGTGAGAGTTTCCTACCAGGCGCGAGGAGCTTGAGGTCGTAAACAACTTTTCAGAGTTTGTAGCAATAGTTTAGATAGGAAAGATTGACAAAATTGGGAGGTTGTTGGAGATACACTTCGGTATCAAGTTCACCAATAAGAAAATCACTCTTAACGTTCATTTGGTAAACTTTGAAGCCTTTGTGGGCTGCATAGGCAAGAAAATTACGATGGATTCAAGACGAGCAACAGGAGCAAAGGTCTCATCATAACTGAGTCCTTCGACCTGATTGAATCATTTAGCCACCAATCTTGCTTTGTTTTGAATGATAACTCCAATGTCATCTAGCTTGTTTCGGAACACCCATATCGTACCAAAAATGGGGTGATCCTCAGGAGGAGGGACGACAGTCCACACTTCATTTTGGTCAAATTCTACCAACTATTCTTGCGTGGTTGCAATCCAGTCAGCATCTTCTAGTGCTTCTTTGATGGATTTTGGTTCAACCATTGAGATAAAGGTCGAGAAACGACATTCATTTTGGATGTTGGTGGCAGAACGAGTTTGAATACCGGCGTTTAGATTTCCAATAACTTGGTTCGGAGGATGATCCTTGGTCCGATATGTAGTCTCGGAAGCTCTACTACAACGGATGATCCGACATCAACAATAGGATTATGTTGCTCCCCCTGAACAACTTGAATTTGAGGATGATGCTTCCCCTGAACTTCTGAACCTGAGATACCAATGTCATCTTCATCCGGAAAGTCAAAGAAAATTGCATCATCTTTAGTGTTGATCAGAGTGGGATCAAATTCAACGAATTGATCTGTTGCATCTTGAAATCCATCCATATTTGATTCAAGGGAAGGTTGACCATTCTCCCTATTAACCTGAGAAGGTTGAAATGGTTCGGAATCAAATGGAGGAAATGTGGGGAACAAACCAGAAACATTTTGGGAAATAGGAGCGCCAGTTGATGATGATTGTCTTGATCAAGATTCTGAATCAAGTGTTGTGTCTTATGGTCCGAACAGGGTTTCAAAATCCATTTCATGAATTACTTGAGGATTCAAACATCATGGCGATGGAGTATCGGACTCCATGATGTGGGTTGTGACATGGATTGGGCCATAATTCCAAACATAACTGTCATCGAAGGTGACATCAAAGCTTTCTTCAAGAACACGAGTTCGATGATTCAGAACTCGGTAAGCTTTTCATTTTGCTGGGTATCCAAGAAAGATTGCTTCATCGGATTTTGGTTGAAATTTTGTGAGCTAATCATGATTGTTTTTATAAAGCATCGATAGCCAGCGACATGTATAAAAGAGATACACGTCTTACACCATTCATGGCTTCGTACGGTGTCATATTGAGGCGTCGATTGATGATGCTTTGATTCTGAGTAAAGCTATCAGTTGACACGGCTTCAGCCCAAAGATAGAGTGAAAGGTTTGCAAAGTTAAGCATCGATCGAGTAGCTTCAACGAGGGTTCAGTTTCTTCATTCCACCACACCATTTTGTTGAGAAGTGTAGGAAGCTGAGAAATTGTGGCCAATACCGTTCTCAGAGAGGAATTTTTCAATGGTGACATTGGTAAACTCCGAACCATTATCACTTTGGATTCATCGAACTGGCAGATTGATGAGAACTTCAATTCCTTTGATAAAATTGATAAGTTCCTAGGTTGTTTCTGAATTGAGCCTGAGGAAGTTAACTCAGGTGAACCTTGTAAATGTAACAATGCAATTTTCAAAAAAAAATTTCATTTTAAATAAAGTGAGTTCATTCAACCAATAATATTTATTTCATGTTTCAAAACAAATACATATGTAAAATCCCCAAGATCTCAAATATCAGCAGTGTGTATGCATCATGCCGGCGCCTTTCCACGGTCCTCGCTAGTACCTGAAACACATACATAACAACTTGTAAGCATAAATGCTTAGTGAGTTCCCCAGTATACCACTTACACATATACGCCTTTCCAGGCCCGGACCTTCCGGTCCACAGTACAATGCCTTCCGGCCCATATGATAATCGCCTTCCGGCCCATAAGATAATTGCCTTCCGGCCCATAAGATAATTGCCTTCCGGCCCATAACAAGATTGCCTTCCGGCCCATAAA